CAGACCAATTCAAAAACTACATTCCCCTGCACAGATTTTGATCAACGCAATCTAAAATGAAATCAGGTGCCCGGTAAGAGCGCTGATCCCCGCAGCTATAATCTGTGCTGTCACAGTCATTATGAAAATGCCAGCATCCATTCGTTCACTCAGTGACTATATCTCTGCTGCATGGTGATTGTAGATGCATTGCCTTTGCAGTGCCACTTAATGATTCATGGTTCATGCATAGGCATGCTTCACAAGACAAAAGCGAAGAGGATTAGACATTACGCTCCACACCTTCTCTCTCCTCAAACTAATGTGGCAGCTCAAACAGATAAGGACTTAAGGGCTGACGACCTCTTTGGAGCTTTTTTTGAGTGGACCAGCAAATCTTTCAAGAGGGGAAATCCGTCCTTTATCTTTATACACAATTGTAACATTAAATGTGCTAGAGCCATAATAAGGCGTAAAGTAAAAGACAATGCAATTTCACTTGAGAAAACAGATTGGTTGAGAAAAGTGAGAATTAAAGAGGGTGATTGTTGTCAAAACGCTTGTTATCATTCTCGCCATGTCGCCCACCTTATTCTGCCGTCCTTTGGCAGCTATTACAGAGAGCTACTTGTGTCTTAAACATGTGACAAAGTGAGAGAGGGGCACACGGGGGAGAGCTGAGGTGCCCGTTCTGCGCTCAGCGCCTGCCGACAGTTCCTACAGGATCCAACTCAGCTCTACGGGATCCTACACAGATCCTGCACACAGCTATGCGGAGTAGGCGGGTCAAGTCAGAAAAAACCGGCGCTTGGGCGGAATCCACATCGGGATATTTAACCAGCTTTGCGTGGTGGCTGTCCGCGTCCCTGTATAGCCGCATTCCAGCGCATCTGTCCTACGACGGACCCCGCCTGTTTCCGGCTGAAATAATAGTCTTTCCAATCATCTAATCGTCAGCTCTTTTGCGCTCCTCCAGTCTCTCCTCCTCTCCCCTCACCTCCTCCTACCACTCGTCAGTCCTCTCGACTACATCTCCCACTGGATGCATTTATTTTATTTTTTTAAGTCATTATCCCTTAAAGGTCAAAGCCTCTGCTTCTAGGAATCTCAATTTATTCTAGGATCAGCTGACTGTCACCCCCCAAACGCGCCCCGGCTGTGTGCTTTTCGTAAAGTTTCTCTCTGCTGAACCTTACATCGGATTTGACAGGAGCAGCCTTCCTCGCAAAACTACTTTTACATCTCATCGGATCCCCGAGTGCGCACGAGTGTTTTTTTTGGAGTGCTGTTTTGATTTTGTTTTTGTTTTTTCTTCCATTTTATCTCAACGGAGTTTACGCGAAATACCCGACCAACTTTAAAATGAGCGTCTGTACCACTCCGGGTGCTGAGGTCCGCCGAAATTCAGCAACAGAATGGAAAAGACAGAATTAAACTTTCTCCGCCGTTCCGTGCCCCGGTGAGTTCTTGTAAATCTGCTCTATCTGGTGAATTTGTGTCAGAGTACAGAGACCTAATCAATACATCATGCCGGTGGATGTTTCTGGCTCTTTGCTGCGCGGCTTGAATGTATCCAACCTGAACAGCTCTTTGATTTCCACTGTGCTGAGGCATCTGTGAGCTGCTGCTTGACTTTAAAGCGATCGTTAACTCAGGGAGACCTCGTCAAATTTGCGTGTCCACAGCCTCACACCTGCACAGAGAAAAAGAGAAATGAAAAAATAAAAAGCGTAATTGCAGGAACTTAAAGGAAAGCACACACACACTTTGATTTTTTTAATGTCTTCTCAGTATGAGCTCCAATTCATTGCCCTTCTTCCTCTGTATATCTACGCATCCCCCCCACTCTCTCACACACTGCCAGCCTCTATCTGCCTTTCCAAGAAAACCTCTAATCTATATTCCTTTGGGTGTATTGGCATCCTCGCCTGTGAAGGATCAGATCTCTCACAGTGATGTGCGGACAGAGCAGGGTTTGCCAAGAAGCAGCAAGGAAGGTAAACCAGCTAGGTCATAGCCTGGGAAAAAAAAAAATAAAAAAAAAAAACATGGAAGAAAAAGTCCTACTGATTTTATAATTACACATTTCACCCCCAAGCGTCACTGCCAAAGCTGGAACATGAGTGCAGGGCAATCACACAGGACCATGGAGGCTGTGATAATTAGTCAAAATCTCTCAAAGAAAGAAAATAACATTCAAAACTGACACAAAGGTAGGCTGGGCTACGTGTTAGTTGGCTCCAGACCTAACTTTCTCAGTTACAGGAAGACTTTCATTATTGCACAGCTTGATGGTGAAAGAAAAGCATCAAATCACTGCTGTGATTCTTATTGCTCCTTGCTAGTGTTGTGCAAAAGTGCCAAAGGCTCAGGCTGTTTACAGGGCCACAACAGGGCCACTGTTCAGCACTGTCCTCATCTATCCCAGGAGACTGGTGAACCCGACCGTGTCCAGGCCTGAAAGGCACACAGTCACCCCCCTGTGATTTCTCCCCTTGATTCCCCTGGTGTGTGTCACCAGAACCACTAAAAAAACAAGGTGCACGTCTCCTAATTCCACATGTTCCAGCTGTTACCTAACAATTCAATACATTGTATGATCATGTGTGCTTCATTGTCTGTTTGTTGGAAGCTGCATTTAGATGTTCCCTTTACAATAATAGACCAAATGAGCTTAAAAACACGATTACACGACAGTTGTGACTGAGCACAGATCCATCTATAGGCATTTAGACTAATGCCATCAGCAGGAATTACATTCCTGAGAGGACTTCTTGTTCCTGCAGTTTGGTGTTGGGTGGCTGGTATGGCGGGATGCTGCACCATTTGTACTTGTGATGGCTGAAAGGAGAAGGGAGGGGTGGGAAGAAACAAAAAAGGAGCTCTGGCTTCCTTCTCCTACAGCCACACTCAGCAAGTAAATAATGTAAAGTAAAATGGTTTCCTATAATTTATTTTGTAAAATGGACAGATGAAGGCGATTTGACATCCTCAATGCAATGAATGAGAGGCTTTTTTTATGAGCGAAACACGACAGCATTGTAATTGATCACGTTTAATGGTTTAATGGTTAAAAATTTAATTTCAAATGTGAAGTCATACAGGGTCAGGAAAGTTGGGGGAGATGTAGAGAAAAAAGTAGAGGAAGATTGGCTGCTCAGGCTCATTTTCAGGGTCAAGTTTTGTGAAGATATGCTCAATATCCACAATATCCACAGCCCATAATTTTATGATAATGAGCAATCCAACGAGTTTTAGTTCAGTGTAAAATGAAAAAGATGTGCTTTAGGGAGATAGAGAAGATGGAGAGTTAAGAATAAAGGGGAAATAAAGGGGAAATACATAAAAAAGAGGAAAAATATCTCATTGAGGGACTTGAATCTGACTCGAGCATTAAAGCAGAATCATTCAGATTAAGACTGACTAGGGCATTACGCCAAAATCTCTCTCTAAGGCAACTGGTAATTGAATGTTGAGTGTGAGGAGGTTCAGCAGAGGCACAAAATGGACACACACTGGAGTGCTCTTACAGCAAATTTGCAGTCATGTTTGACAAAACAAGAGCTGAATTCTTCTCATTAAAAAAGGGGTGTTGAATTCGAAACAAAATTATGCCCTGACCGACAATAGAATTGTCCCTAAAACAACTTTTCAACAGTGGTAAACACAATCATGGCTTTTCAGGTAGCTGATGTACTGTTAGAAAGACAAATAACATTGAAAAGCAATAGAGAACAGCGAGACAGGTATCTGTCCCTTTTATTTAAGAGCAACCTTTGTCCATGTGGACACAAGGCCACCAGCAGAGAAGATCTATTTGGATTTCACTGTGATTTATAGCGTCACTTTCTCTGTATATCCTCAGCCTCTCAGTGATAAGCAACCATATTAAAGCTTTCCAGGAAAAATATTATGCTTGGAGAAGCAACAGAAGAAACAGCAAAGAAAAAAATTGACCTAAAGGTTTTCACCCTAATGGCCTGAGCTTTTATACATTCTCTCTTAAAGATTCATTGAATGTTGATTAGCTGATAAGAAAATAAAAGGGGAAAGTAACACATGTTTACACATAGATATCAGTGCGAACCCAGCTAAACTGTTTATCTTGAGTTAATGTGGCCACTTGAGTTCCCATTATCAACACCAACTAAACACAGCTTTTCTTCTGATAGTTCAGATGATATTGTAAGGGGAAAAGGTGGTATATTTGCAAAACTTTCTGAAGAATTGTTTTTAGCGTTTGAGATTAATGTACTGTGAATAGACCTTCAATCACAAGTCATCATCATATCCAACTAAAACAAGTTGCATTTATGCCCATGTATTTGCTTTCCTGAAGAGGAAAAGTTCCAGTTATCATTAGTTTCCGAAGAAGCTGTTCTCCTGAAAGTACGTTTAGGAGAACACAACACGTTCCCAACTGTATGTGAAGAACACTCACCACATTTCACCACACTTTCAGTTGACCTCCAACACATCAACTTCATATCTGTCCTGTGCTTTTTGTTTTAAGTGTAGCGATTAGAAAATGCATGTTTGTAGATCTGTAAATGCATGGGCTCATCAGCCTGCATGTGAGTACTTTCATGGTGACATTTCTTGCCTTTGATGTCTTCTTCCCAGGACACCGCAGGAGCTCATTCTTTGTATTTGTTTGTAAGACAGCCGGATGAGTGCAACTGGCAGCCATATTATAATTTCACAAAGGCTGTGTTTTACCCCTGGCAGTGGTATGTGAGGTATTGTTGACAGTTGTAGGAGGAAAAGATAACTAGGTTAATTAGGGCCAAAAATCTCATTAGTCAGCATGGAGGGGAAGTTGTAAAGTTTATCGGTTCCTGTTCCCCTACTTTTTGAATGGTTTAAGGGCTGGCTTGCAGACAAGTTACAAAGTGGATCCTGTTGAAGAAATTCAAATGAAATGTTTTAATTAAATCCCCTCCTGTAAAGCTCCTACCTCCCTTCCATCTCATTTTCTATCATTGTTTTCCTTCAATCTTTTAAAAAGTTTAAGATATCACAAAGAAAAAGACTACTGGAAATTTCAGTTTCAGCATTTACTGCGCCAACTAAGCGAATATGCTGTGCTGAGAGCTCCAATCATGGATATGGACACACTGCACGATACAAACAGAGACACATTTCTACACATAAAACCCAGGTAGGTGACCATTAGGGTGCTGGCATCCAGCAGTAAGTGAACAGATGTTTGGAGGCTGAATGCTCTGTTTTGTCCTGGTCTCCAGTGAAACCAGCTGCTGAAATTCTCAAGAAAGACTGAGCTTGGGAGTCCCCCCCATCTCATCAAGCTTACCGTATCCTCCAGAGGACGGGACATGAATCGAGATCCCGCACAACAGGCTGTATACAGGCCCGTACCTGAGTAGAAAACACTCAATTCTGGCTGCTACACAAAGGTGTTGCAGCACAGCCTGGAAAACGTGCTTCAAAGCAGATAGGTCTGTTCATCCCAGGAATTACACTATATATTCATTTTTGTAATTAAATGAAAGTCAATTGAGTTATCAAATCTTAACCACAACATTGTCTGTTTTCCCAATTTAGTTTAAGCTCTCTGTGACCCAATCATACGTTTTCAGAACAGACACAGGACTAAAATATATTTTTTACCAAAAAGTGTGCAGTTATGTTATTCCTTCCTACCACCAGCACCCTGTACACCACGAACAGCCATCTCTCCTGTGGGAATTAACTTCACAATCCCATTTTGCTTTTGTCTGTTGCTTCCAACATGATGACTCAGACTAAGAAAGTTATGACTGAGGGAGTGTGTTTTTCACAGGTGTTTTGAATATGTAGCTGGAGGACATGGCGGGCTCATACTGTGCCCGTCACCAACATGTAACCACCAGTAGTTCTTGTAATGAAAAATGCCTTTGGCTCAACATTTCATCACTTTATTGACTTTCTCTTAAAACATTTTCCCCCAAGGAAGAGGATTTTGAGATATTACACCTTTATGGACTTTTTGTTTTTCAGATTTAACGCTCATGCTTTTTGCACAGAATAGTACACCTATTTAGACAGAGTTGTTATTGTTACTACGAGTTTTGTTCCCATCTTTTTGATAACGAAATTCAGGGATTAACATTCAGAATAAGCATTGTAAAAAAGGAAAAACATAAAAGACCATTGAATCATTTGAATTAAAATAATTTAGAGAATATTGTGACAAAGTTTGCCGTAAATAAAAAGGATTTTCAAAAAGGTGGAACTATTGTGTATCTTCATCGCATGGCTTCTTCATTAAAGCAACACTTTGTAAAGCCATTTTCAGACTTCTTAATTTTCGCAAACATTTTTTTGGGACTGTTTAGCAGCAAAGACTAACATAATAGAACATTTTTGCCAGATTTAACCTGACTGTCATCTAACTAATCTCTATCAGACAAGCTTTCACAGCTGTCATGCAGATAGCACTGTTCAAGTTTCACTCCGATACCTCATGGATTTTGACAAAGTGGTTGTCGAAGTTCTTCCCTCTCCAGACTGTGTTGTGATATTGCACCCAGGAAACATCAAAGATTTTTAAGGCCAGCTGACACATGCATCTTTGAAGTCTTCACGCAAAATGATTGTCGGCTGGTTGTTGAACACTCACCCACCCACCTAAATTTGTCTGTGATGTGAAAATATAGCTTAAAATCTCTTCATGGGAAGTGGCTTAAGCGTGAGAAATGAGGACACCCTTTGCTCTTTTGAAAGTCAAGTATTTTCTCTTTTTCTATCTCAACTTGGCTTATTTTTGTCCCATTTTGTCATAACAAAATGTTTAATCATTGCTGGCCTATTGGGCCCTCAGAACCGAAGTTTAATACTTGTATGTTGTCACCTGAATGAACCTGTTATTAGTCTCTACCTGTTGAGCATTTGGGTTCACAAAAGTCTCTACCATTTTTCTTTTTCTTTTTTTCTATAAATTCAACAACTAAATCACATGATGATGAGGCGTGTTGTGATTAAATTGGTTGGGTGTTGAAGCTTGACATTGCCAGCTGAAGTATGAGAACTTGACATTTGCCAGTGCTTATTGAGACGCCTGTTATGATGGGCAGGGGTTGTAAATTGGTTGTAGAGCATCGTCCATAGTTGACGGTTCACTCGAATGGCCATTTGTTTAACTCCCTTTCTGTTTATTGAACTGGTGGAAAAGGAATGACTTCCATTTAGATACTTCTTCCCTGTGGAAGTGAACAGGAGGTAGTCATAGCTACCATTTCTATGATGAATTACAATCTCTGCACTAATTTCTCAAAAGGAGCGTTATGTTTTCTGTGCAAATGCTCCTTCTCCATACATAAAAAACAATTCTCTGTCATGTGACATGACTTGGTACTGTGCGTATTGTCCACTCAGATAGCAGGTCCAAACCTACGAGGCACAATAAGTGTTTTTAGAAATAGAAAAATAAATAAATAAATACAAACTGACACTATTTTTATTTTATTATAGGACGGCTTGGTGCAAAAAAAGACTGATCATGTTTTCACATTAAGAAAGAATCGTTCAAATTAAGATGGTAGGATGGACAATGTCAAGTTGTTGTTTTTTTGTGATAATATTCTTGGCATGCACTTCTGTTAGATGCAGACATTCATTACACTCATGACTGGGAAATCTATTCCCCATCATTTACACTCTTGTCACAAATTCATAGAGAGGACCTCATACCAACAAAAAGCTTTCATTCTCTGCTGCAGTTTCAAACAGCCCTGGGCTATTGCTGGCGTGTGTTGTGCAAAATTATATTTGACTGGATCTGCAGTAACGTCACTTCTTACTCTCTGCCTCAAATGAAAATTCCTTCCCGTTGGGTCCCCAGCCTTTGATATAATGTTTTTTGATTATGGAGTTTCCTCATTCATGGAGGATTGTTTTAACATCATTTCATGAAAAGCAGTGTAAAGCCCAAAGTGATATGATTCCCTTGTAGACATCTGATATCGTGCTGTGAAATGATAAAGGCATAATGAAAGGCTTTTTGGGTTGTAATGTGAATATTAGGACTGGTTTAGACCTGCTAAATTACTTTTCACAGAGCACACTGTCACAGCATGTATGTGAAATATGAAGGATGTGAATTAAAATGAGAGAATGCAGATGAGGAATAGAGTGGGTTCTTTGAGGAAAGAGGGTTAACAAAAATACAATGGACCATAAGTAGGAGGAAGAGGTGGCACAGAGAACACAGAGCTTTTGCTTCCTGTGCATCAGCTGTTGGATAGTTGCCTATTGAAAGACATGACCTCCTTGCTCTGTTTCTATATAACATGCTACACACCTTGCACTTTGCAATGAAACACACAATCTGCACAATATAAAACAAAACAGTTTTTCAATTGTAGTACTCAAAGTGTAGGATGTTTTTTTTATTTGCTATTTTCATTGCAACATATAAATCACCATACATTTTCATTCAGTCATGCATTTGTTAAACTGGTGGTGTAAGATAGAAAACCATTACTCATTTGTCAGATTTGGAAAAAAAACACACAAAATGTGTTATTGCTCAGTATGTGGCCCTTTGCCGCTGAAAGAAGTGGGGTGTAGAAAGAGGAGTGAAATCCTTGAGCTCAAACATAGAGCATGGCAGAAGATAACAGAAAAACTGGGAAGACAGAAGTCTCTCTGTCTCAGGGCGAATAAACTATTCAGCACGATTGGAAAGAGAACAGAAACCGCTAAAAGACTTACTCACTCTTTAACTGCATCAACAACGAAAGAAGTTAAAAGGGAATTGGGGAGAATTTGCTCCATTTTGCTGTTGCTTTGCATTATTCTTGACACTTTTTTTACAGAAAGCATTTCTTTGAGAAAATGTATCACATTGTCGTTCATATATTTCACGTTCTACATGGGACTAAATTTAAATTAAAAAAATCAAAACTGCTGTCTGGAGAGGACAAACAAATAAGCAGGTGCATTCTCTACCAGCTGTTCAGTAGAAAGTCACATATATATACAGTATATGTATATATATATATATATATATATATATATATATAGTAAAATGGAACTATATATATATCTTAATTATGTAGGTTACTAATTGCATATACGGAATGGTAGCTTGATTCCGATATTCCCATAAAGACCTGACACCTAATTAGAGACCCACTCTAAAATATATAATTTGTTCTTATTGTTTGAAATAGAGTGTACATATTTAAGAAGTAGATGCTGCAGAGCAGACTCATACAAGCATCGGAATTCACCAACTTTTAACAAATGTGCAAAACACAAATGTAGTTTATGAGCACACCAAAAAATAAAGCACCCACACAAGAAAAATTAACAGGCCGTCTGGGGAGCAATGTCAGACTCAAATCAGTTTTCAAATTGCTAGCTCATCTCAATAAAACCACTAAATTAAAGCTCCTCTGTATGCTTAACTGTCAATAATTAACCCTAAAGTCTGTCTCTGTGGGCACATGAACGTGTGTGAGACTCTGATATAATATTTTAAACCTGTTTTCGTTCAAGCATTCAACCAGCTGTTGTGCATCCTTCCCATGCTGCTATAGTGAGTTTTCAAACCTCCATACCCACATGTGGTCACATGGCTGAGTTAACTTGACAGATTGTCATCAGAATACTGTAATGGGACTCAAATACCCATGTACATGCAGACACACACACACACATAGGGGAGTATGTCACTGAATTTGACAGACAGCATTCAAAATGAAGACTGAGACTAATGTTGGTTTTGGGCAGAATTCGTAACAAATATGATCAGATGATTCAAAGCAATCATTTTTTTTTCCAATCACAACAGAATATGTTTCAATGTGTGCATGGGATAGTATACTACTGTTTCTATAGCTGTTGCTGTGTCATGGTAAACTGTTAAGGCACGATGAGTTCAATATCGAGAACAGCACAGTTGTTCTCTGTGATGTTAGCACAGTAAGTTCACATTTTGAATTAGTAAAAGGGCCTTTCTTCTTTATGAAATATCTACATCCAGCCCTCTGTAAATCATTGAGACTTTATCTGTCCTGTTTTACTCAGTCTTTAATGAAAACCCCCACTTGCCAGAAACAAAGAAAGCCATGAATCTGAACATTAGTGAACTAAAAGCTGGGTTCTTGTCAAAGGAAGATGAATTCACCGCATGAAACAGTATCTCCTATTTAGGAGTGCTGTGATCTATATTTTTCTGATCCGGTGGTCTTTTTTTGTTTTTCACATATATTTGTATCTCTCAAAAATATAAACAGAGTATTTGCAATAGTGTTGAGCAGATGGGGTTGAAATTAAACATGTAGTTTAATTACAGGCAAATTCTTTGATAAAAGCAAGTAGAAATGTTTATTTGTTTTTCTCTCAGTTGTATCGACTACTGTAAACTTTAAACAAAAGGGACTGAATAATGAAAATGAATAGATAACCAGGTGATAAACGAGTAAACGTGATGCCGACGCCTTACACAAAATGGTCAGTGTGTGGTCAGATGACAGAAAGAATACGTTTAAAAAGCATTTCTTCATGTTCAAACATCTTAAAAGTCTAGCAGCATACTTTTAATTTCAGGTACACTTCATCAAACGTCTCACAGTCCTTCCATGTCCTTCACATTCTGCTACATTGTTTGTGCTCTTTTTTTTTAAGGTGTTCGGGGGCCATTGAGGTAATGCAGGTACCCCAGTCTTCCCAGTGGAGGACCCACCTGATGACGAGTGCGTGTGTCTGCTGAGTTCCCACTCACCCACTGCCACCACTGCCTCCCATCCCTCCACACATCTCTGATGGCTCTATGGGGAGTCGTCAGCCTCAGTCTTCACTGCTGGTTGTGTTTACGGTCTGGTGCAACAGCAACAGCAGCAGTCAGCCTCCCAAATGACAGACCCGGGGGACCTTTGGACTGGCTCTTGTCAGATAAGGGGCCCTTCCACCACTCCCCAGAGTACATCGACTTTGTCGAAAAGAACCGACAAGGCTTCTCCACAAGATACAAGATATACAGGTGAGTCGTGACAGTGGGATGATGAAGTACTTTACTGTTTATATTTCCAAATGATCACTCAATGTCAGTTATCCACTTGTCAAATCTATATCCAGCTGCTTCAAAAAATGTCTAATGCTGCTCTATGAAATATGTTTGTACACAAACAAAACCTGTGTCACCTATTTTTTTTTTTGTTTGGTCATGTATTTAGATTAATATAACTCATTAAACCTAAAACACATAGTGCTCTTTTACCAGTCTTTAGCTACATATCAAATTAGAGGCCACCTTCTCAAACATCAAGTTATTATCTACAATGCATTCAGCAGGGCTGGTAGTTAACATCTGACATCAACTGTTGGTGAATGGCTGTGAACCATCACTATATGTAATATCATAGATATTATATGATATTTCATATCTGTATAGATGTATGTAAATATTACCACAGTTTTCCTGGCATTAATGTGATAATGTAATTTGTTGTGGTTGAACATCCAATAAGGTATTCCTAAAATGTAATTTTGTAATAGTAGAGAAAGACCTCCAGCAAATTTCAATTAATTTTTTACACTTTTTAGACACGCATTAATTCAGCACACCGATGCACACTCTGGGTGAAAAAGAAAATAAATCCATGTGCTCCTAAAAATAGAGTTTCAGCAACTTCAATGCCAAAGAAAAGTCCTTATCGGATCTGCATTAAAGCGCTAAAATGAAAATTAAATTGCATCTAATTAAGTGTATACTGCGTGGAAAATTGATGAAGTTCAATTAAATGATAGAGATGAAATGTAAATCAGTAAACTTTCATCCGGCTTGAATAAAATAGCTGCGAACAGGTGGCATATGTGTGTATCTAAGGCTCTCTGATCACCTTGTTAACTGTATCTGTGGCATGCGAGTGACTTCATTGTCTCAAACCAAACTGACAGGTGGTAGAAAACTCAGCTACCATAACAGCACACAGTATGCTGTATGATAGCCTACTCAGGGTTATGTTGCTGGCAGACTGCATAATTTGCGCTGTGCTGTCACAGCAAAAAAAAAAAAAGAATAAAAATAAAAAAAGGGTTTCTCACAACCAGAGTTCATACATGTAGACTTCTTCAAGCTGTACATCTTAATTGGTTGGCATCTAAAGCCTCAGGGAGGGTAACCTGATCAGATGCTTAAATGAGATATGTTGATTGGTGCCGTAAAAGAAAAGATCTGTCATCAAGGCAACGCAGTTTGAGGTATCAGAATGCCGCTGTATTATTGGAGATTGTGCCATGAATCGTATCCATTGTCATTAAGGAGGATGGTGTCCAGGCTTCTGGAAATGAATGGACAAGGTTCTTGACATCTATGGATCGTTGCAAGAATGCTTTATGGTTTGGGTCGCCTTGTTTGAGCTTTTTAATATTTCCTTTACTGGCAAAAGGCAGTGGTCCATCGGAGCTGTGCTGCATGGGCGGCAAGATTAATAGTCTTATCATGTGGCCAAGTGATTAGTGAGCTCTTAGTACTTATTACTCTGCATTATCGCAGAATCCCCTGAGAGGCTTCTGTCAGCTGCAAGGTTGCCTTTGAGGCCCTCTAGATTACTACAATGCGGCACTGATTAATAGTGTTGATATTAAAAGGAAAAACTAACCTAAAAAGTAAATAGCCTGTACATCTCCCCAAATTGAATTCACTTGGATTCAGTCCCATTCAATCTCGCAAACCAATGCAGACAGGAGGGTTGCAGCTGTGGGATTGTTTCTGTTTTGGCAAATAATAGTGTTCTTTTAGTAGCAGCGTGGGTGAAATGTGGGGATGATTTTGTGTGCTCACATGTGCAGCTGCCTCATAAAACAATCTGTGGGTTTGTTTTATTAAAGAAAATGCCCTCCCTGTGAATTTCTCCCAAGGGAAAGGGATGCTTTACCAAAATACTACATGACCTTTCAAGCTTGTAAACGGAAAAATTAATATGTACATATGTTCATGGGAACTTAATGAGTGTTTGAACTGTGAGTACATCTTCTGCCTAAAAAACAAACAGATGTGCCTTTTCTTTGTTATTTGTAGAATTTAACCATCATAGTATGTCAGAGACAAGTTAGTTTCCACAAAAACAAAATCAAAGACAACTCAAAAATATAACACAAGTCTCACATGTCTACGTTGCTGGCTTTTTACAATCAGCCTCTTCCCTGAAGCTGCAACTTTCATTTTTGTAAATCATCAACATTCTGCCCCGAAACAGGACGACACTAAAGGAGCTCAAACCCGTAATCCTCTGATCTGAAGTCAGACACCTTGTCCATTAAGGCACGGAGTCTTTGTTTACTGAGTATTGTTTGGCTTTTGTTTGGCTGGAGAGGGCCGCTATAGCTTTTCCCATTAATCGAAACTGCAAGTTTCACCACTCTGTAGATCCCTTGCTATGAGTCTTGCCACTGATTTACTGATTCTCTACACTCTCTTATGGTTGTCAATAAATTCCAACACCGCAAATAAAATTTCCATATATTTTTTTCCCTTTTTCACCTCTGTGCAGGGCTGCGTTTGCCCTGTTTGAGTTCTCACGGCAAGAAAAAGCAGATGTGTGGCTTGAAGGGGAAGGGAAGAGTGTGCACTGCATGAGCCTCACACACATTGCACGGGAACTAAGAAGTCGCGTTAGGTGTCTTCAAATGTAACTTAGCTTTGTCTTGTCTCCATGTGCAATACCTGCTCATTAATGCTAATTGATTAGTCGAAACAGCAGGGTTACAATAATGAACAGGTTTTAATCCATTCAACAAAGCACCTTGCATGTGCACCCCACCCTTTAGTCGAACTTGATCAAAAGAAAGCAGCTTTCCGTTTGATATGAGGCACATCAACTACAGTGAGGAGCAAAATATTTCCCCAACCTCAGGGGAGTCTGCAGACATGCTGAGCAGAGCTGAGGTGAGAGTTTTAAGGCAGATAGCTCAGTGCTTCTTCAAAACATCCCTCCACATCCCTCCGCTGCATTGTTACTGATGTTCTCCATCTTATCGCTGCTCCTAAAGGCTCCGGTGACTTTGAGTCGCTCATTTTTCTTAATGGACTTTTGAAATAGTTTCAATGAATAGTAGTCATCATCACTTAAATTATTATCTGTGTAATTTTAGAGGTTGTGAAATACATAATGAATTATTCAGATCAATTTATGACTTGGTTCTAAATTTATAATCCATTTTATTCAGTTTTTTGCAGCAGGAGGTTGAGATTGACAGTGTCCCCATGGTTGATTATTGTGCAAAATTGTATAGAAAAATATATATTTTTTATAAAAGTCTATAAGCAGCTGACATTGCAAATGGAGGGGAAGGTGATTTCTGTCTCCATTTTCTATCTACTGAATAGGAGTGTTCTCCTGCCGTCTATCAGATATAACGGATCCCCACTGTTGATAAAGTTCACTCTGAAATACAGAATTGCAATAACATTTCCAGACGCAATCCTTACCACCAGAGAATAAAACTTTGGTGATTCATTAACTTCACTTTAACATCAACTCTGACATTGACATTTTGAGTGAAATCTCTCTCCAGCTTATGATTTTATCACATGTGTGATAAGATTCACTACATAAAACGATAGCAGTTTTTTTAAAGAATGTATTCTAATTCAGTCCAATGTATTTAGTCTTTTGGACCAAGTATCACAGAAAATAATAATCTTCAGATGAACCATAGTTGTTGTTTACGAAGTCTGTTGCTGCTTAGCCACATTATGATTTTAGCTTCTTTGGTTTTGAATTGTTACCTATAGTTTGATAATTACACTTGGTTTTGTTGAGTTGAGTACAAAAAAATAACATGCGATATAAGCTCCCGTGTCAGACTGTTTTTATGAGGGTAATTGTTGACAACACGGTTTTGTTTGAAAGGCTCATCACTTGTTACAGATAGAAGTTAGTGGTGATTGAAAGTGTGATTATTTTCTGGTCTAGTGTTCCTAATGTATCGTTCAGATCGCAGATGAATTGTGATAAATGTTCTACCACAGGAGAAGATGAATTACCAGAATTACTTCTTCATGTTCCAGCATTTGAGCATCGTCAGTGATGGAGGAATGAATTAAAATGTTATGGCAGTACTTTTAAACATTTCTTTCTGATTGAATTTGAAAATATTTTAAACCAATTTTCAGTGGAACAAAAAAAGAGGATTCATGAGTGTATCTGAATGTGTGCACTTTGGATTCACTATAGAGCATCCCCATTGCTTCAAATACAGGCACAATGTGGCCCATCTGACTAAGCCACCTGTTCACTGCAAACATTGCCATGGGAAAGCTGCCATATTCACCAGGGTGAAGGTAGGAGGGTGGACATGCATATGACCTTGTTCAAAACATATTGCATTTGGGTGATATACAATTGTATTATATGTTAACAAAATAAAATAGAATGTATCATTCAGATGTGGAAAAATTACAAAAATAGTTGTTGTCAAACTGTTTATATGTACAGAAAAATAGTTTTAAATTAAATATATCTGCCGAAGTACTAATGCCAAAACAAATGGTTAAATGATGTGAGTACTTTCCATTAATAAGCTGAGGCAGTATTATTGGCATGAACTATTTCAGAAAGGTTGAAGGTGGTTAACTCTTTTCTTTAGTGCTGATTAAGCAATCAGAATAAGAAAAAAATAGAAGTACATGTATCCAATATTGCCTAAGGCTTAGATAAATGCTGTATATTTATTTATTCTTTAAGCAGGGGTGCTTACATTTTTTTATTTATTTTTTATTTTTCTTTGGATTTGGAAATTTGCAGCACCTCTAAAAACTGCATTATCATATTGTTTAGAGGGTGCAACCTATGTAGCACTGCAAAAAAGAGCAATGAAATTGATAATAATAATGACTGAGGCGGTTGTAGGCAGGATTGTAGCCCTTAAAACGAACTATGTGGTGAAATCCAATTCATTTCATCTTTCCCCTGCAGGATGAACCATTTGGCCTATCGGGGTTTTAAGATAAGACAGGGCTAGCTTATCACAGTCAGCGATAACTGAAGAAACGAACGACAGAGGGGATTTGCGAATACGCTTTCTGTACCTGTACTTACTTCACACTCCTTTCCCCTCGTATTCCTCCTTTTTTTCCCACAGAACATTGTGCAGCTTTGAACTTGTGCTTCCACACAGCAAAGTGGAACTCTAGACACACCGTGTCCCATTTGAAGAGGTCATTTATTTGTGTAGCATGAAATGAGGTGAAGATTAATGGCTACACTAGATATATCTGAGCAAGACATTAGTTCGAGGCTTTGTCTGAATACTACAGCGCCAGCAAAAAGGTCAATAGGTGCCTCGCAGCTATTTAACTTCATTATATTTACTTTCCATACAGCTTACAGTTAATGTAAGATAATGTGTGAATTTCCATCTTGCTTCATTATAACATAATGTACAGTTAGAATTACATATGGGCAATTTTTGGTCACAAGCCTTTTTTAGGTTTTTGTGTGTTGCAGGTTGAATTCTGAGTGATTTACACTCTACATCATTTAAACATCTGTGTGTTCCAGCTTTCCTCATTACTCCTGGTTTAATGTGATATATACCCTTTCAAAAGGCCACACTCCCACCATCCATCATCTGCAGCCAAGGTTGCTCAACCCATTCTGATTACAGCAGTCAAGCTTTACTCTGACAAGAGAAAAGTGCAACATTTGACTGATTGGACAGTGTCATTCACATAAATTTGTGAAATGTTTATTTCCGGTCACACCGTGAAATCTGACAAAAATAATCCATCACTTGAGACAGTGTTTTATGTTCGAGCAGCATTGGGAAATAGTCCTTCAAAAGGCGCATTTCTTAAAGAATAGAGAGCTCTCTAAAATAACCAAATCTTATTTTCCTGTTAATATCCCCATAAGCCTGATTATGTGAAAAAAGAGGACCTGTGAATTATAGTAAACTGGCACGACACTGTTCCACTTATGAAAAAAAAAATCTAGGTATTCACTGTTAAGTTGTTCATAATATGACATGATATCTGCCTGGGATGTCATAGCATAGCCTCTTCACAAATCATTGGCCTTTTATGCCATTTTTATTTACAATATGAAAAATACTTCTGGACAAAAAGAATGTCTCAACTTTGACAACGTGTTTTAGTAATTTCTTATGTTTCTCTAATATTTATCTTATATGATTGCTTAATTGGACAAGGTTAAAAATATGTCAACATTGGTCATATCTCAGCTATTTCACTTTCAAAATAAAGACATTTACTAAAGGACAAAGGAAGAAAACGACAATGAGTGCAGAGATATTGAAAATGGGCTCTTATACCAGTTTAAATGGTAAAACCTTGAAGCTTCTCTTCAGTCTGTCTCCAATGGACTATAATGTATTTGTATTCTTAATAAAGAAACATCATGAAGATGAAACACTCCTCACTGCTGTTGACCTTTAACAGCTGTGTGCATGTAACAATGGTGACTGCAGGAATTACCAGCTGTGTGAAAATGGCAAGCAAGTTTAAAGGGAAAGATATTATGCATAATACTTTATTACTGAATACAACCCTGACCTTGAAAACGGTACCGACAAATGATCTCTGAGGTTCTAACACAGACAGAAATAAGAGAAACTGACAGGGAGATTTAGTTTTTCGTTTAATTTTGAGTTGGCCTTCGAATCTAAAATCAATCTCTTAAAAATGCATAACATGCAAAAAGAAAGAAAGAAAAAAAAAGATAGAGAGTTTTTACATCATTTTACAGGAAGCTGAAAATTCAGAGGGCTCTTAAAGATAGGAAAAAAGAAGGCCCCATCACAACAGCACACACAACTTACTGAAATTCTTACATCGTTGCACGTTTTTTCAACTCTGTTGGAATGTTTACGGATTTGTTGAAACATTGCTGCTGTACACATGATGCAATTCAGAACTAAGCAGGCTCAGGGGGGCCATTGATGGTTGAGGTCAGATATAGAAGTTGTCAGAAGGACACTGAAGAACATTAAAAGAAAAAAAAAGCCTCTAAGTATTTTTTTCCCGGGGCTGTTTTCACCGTTTTGTGTCCTTTTTGTGTTTTTTTCCTGAAATAGAAAATGTATTTCTTTTTACCATCTTGAGCTTCTTTCATTTTGTTGTAAATATTTCTTATGTCATTTAACATTTATTACTTGTGCAGTTGGATTTATTTCAGATTCTAAGTGGTAAGCACATTTTTTCTTCTCACTTTTTAAATATTTTTTCTTTTCTTGTAATTGAGCATTTATCCCTGGCATTACAGAATTACTCAACAATTAATTTCACAATGTTCTCATTATGTTTTTCTTCTCTTGTTTTATGGATGTTTTTAAAGCATGGTACAATTGAGTGATTGGATTAAAAAAAAATAAAAAATTAAGAGCAAACCAAAGATTTTTTAAGACAGATATTTAAATTAAAAAGTCCTGCCATACAGTGTTGGTTGTTATTTGGATATATGTAAAATTACAAAACCCAAGCAAAAACTTCCTTTAAAAGACTGATAAAAAGAAATGCAGGACATTTCGATATGACTGAAAAAAAAGAAAAAAAAGCCCTCTCTTTATGAAAGGTCACTATCCAGAAAGAAATGCAAATCACTAATACAAGTTCCAAAGTGGCAGCTAACGTAAGTCAAACCGTTACACACTTGCCTCATTACTGTACAAACCACTTGTCTCAACACTCCAAAGGTGTTTGCTGTCATACGTGACCTCCCCTCGCCTGCTAAATTGTTCTCCGTGCGGCAGCTTTTCTGACAGCACTGACAGGTGATCCCCTTACAGTTGTCTTCCTCTCACACCGCGAACAAAGCAGCTCATTCAAAGGCAACAGGAAATTCTACTGTTATTCTGCATCAGTAACCACTTTATTCTCAAAGATCGTTCCACAACTAGAGGTGTGACATGGGTTAACCGCCTTCATTGAATACCTATGCTTCTAATTCCTGTGCTCAACCTATCTAGTGTTTTGGCCACATTCTTGTTTCATTTTTCATTAGGGAGTTTGGAAGATGGAAGGTGAACAACTTAGCAGTAGAGAGGAGAGAATTCCTGGAGTCTCAATTACCTCTGACCCCCGAGTTCATCAGGAACATCCGAGTACTGGGCCGCAGGCCAAGCACCCAGACCATCACTGAGAGTTTGATCAGGAAGTATGGAACCCACTTCCTGTTGTCAGCCACACTGGGAGGTAAAAGTGAACATGACTGTGTTAGTCTGTTTTTTTTTTTTTTTCATCTTCACCTGTATTTTATCCTGAGTAACGATTGTGACATACCTAGATGACTTGATTTTTGTAACAGTTAATATAAAAACACAAGAAGCCTTCATAGTTTTGATAGGTATCCATCAATTCTACTAACAAAATTGAAAAATGCTGCTGGCCAATTATATCGGCTTCAGCTTCTGAGATGATGTGGCTCAGTTATGAGTTTGCTTTTTTTCCCCCATAGACTATTACAGTTTAAGTTACTTTTTAAATGTCATCCTTAAGCATCACTGATCACTAAATGTATCTCCAGGAATCCATTGAAATGAAGGGAATCCAATGTATAACGAGTTAGCTTGTTATATACTACACGTAGAAGGAGATATGGGCTTTAACTAATCATTTTCTCTCCCAGGTGACATACAGTTTGTGATGACAAATTATGTTAGAATCTCGTCTTCCAGGTGTCCAACGTGGAAAACAGATGGAGATGGCACATTACCTCAGTTCACTCAGATTAACTGAATGAAACATCTCAACGTAATTCAATACAGCAAAAAGCATTGACATTGGTCTTCAGAAATGAATGACTCCTTTTAAAAGCCTGTCCACAGTAAACCTGCCATTCCTACTTCAAGGCGCCCTCACTCAAAGTTATCTTTTTTTTCCTGCATCATGATCATCTTAAACCTTAAAGGTACTTTTCCTTCCCTCGCAAAAAGTAACTACATAAATAATTGTATATAAAATTAAGACGTCAGAAAGGTACAGGTGTGTTTTGATGAGCAGATTTGCTTTTACAGTGCAGCACTTGCCAATTACCTGTGACCCGACTCCATGTTTTAAAAGGGTTGCTGTGGTCAGTGGCTGCATATAACACAACTGTCCGTGCTTCCTGAGCCGATGCAGCATCGCTACCTGGCTCTCAGCCAGCGCTTGGTTATGAAGAGAGGAGAATGAGGAGTTTGCCTTGGACATTTGCCAGATAATTGCCTCTGTGGTTCTGGATGGATTGCCTCTGTGTTCAGAATCATATGGACTCAATGAAATTAATAAATAGATTGTGATATTAGGACGGTGCCCTTCAGCAGCCGGGTAAGAAAGGCAGCAGGCAGAAAAATGGCTCTGAGGCATTAACACTGCATTATAATGAGAAAGATGATGTGCAGTGTCTCAGGAACTCTCAAGGCGTACAGTGTGTTACCATGGCCTCGAGACTTATGAGGAGCTGATTGCTGTGATCATTGGCTTCAGATACAGGTGGCATGGCTTATCTTAATTGTGGTTAAGTGTCTTTCTGCTTCAGTGGTGCTTCAGCTGCCCCTCGCCCATATGAGCATGTCTCCCAGATGAGAGAGAGCAGGTGGGGTTTTGAATTTATGGCTTTGTTAGGCTGCAGATTAATTGCAAAAAAAAATTTAAACCGAAAGTTATCATTAAAAAAAATTCTACGAAGTGAAATGCAGCAAGCAGGAACAAACAAAGTCAATTAACACATGTTTGCGCCAAAGACACTGACAGTGGATTTATTTAAATGTGTAAGCTAAACTGTAATGAGTGTGCGGCACCAAGGGACACAAACATGTAATTCCTTTGAAACACTCTGATTTCTGATGTTATCTTAGAGGCCAAGTTTGAAATCATACTGAAGGCTTCATAGCATCATATAATACATTCACCTTATCAAAAGACCCCTTTTAGAACATCTTTTCTTTCTGTGTAGGAGAAGAAGCCTTGACGATATTCGTGGACAAAAGAAAACTGAGTAAGAAAGCAGAGGTGAGCGATTTTTCGGGCAACTCCTCCACTGTGACTCTGGAAGCTCTGCACCAGCTGGCTGCCTCCTACTTCATTGACAGGGAGAGCACTCTGCGCAAGCTGCACCACATCCAGATTGCCTCCACTGCCATCAAGGTAATGCTTTTTCATCTTCTCTCGTCTTTGAAAACATTCAAATACACTAATCAGTAACGTTGCCATCAACCTTGATCTCAGTGGGTCAATCATATCAAACGCATGACACCACTGATAATAAACCGAAAAACTGGAAAGAGTATCTGGCTGCAAGTAAAAATACAACCAATCTTTTTGATATGCTAATATGTACAAGATGTGTAAGTGTTTTGTGCTCTTGGAAAAAGGTCTTATGCATGTTTTTTGTTGAAATTTGAATATTTTCTAAGAGACATAGATTAGTCTTTGTTAAAGTCACAGAGCTAGATGTTTGTGGGTTGCATATGAGGAAATAAGTCATGGTTCACATTGTTTGGGTTTAACAGTTTTAAACAATTCATTTGAACTAACATAATGTACCACATCATACATAAACACAGAGGAAAAGGAATCCGGTTCCATCGCGCAAGAAATCTAATCTAAAGCATTAAACAATTCTACATGGGATTTTGCATTCTATTTCACTATAATAATATTAATAATAAAAATAGTAATAATACGATAACAGTCCTATGAGAATAATGGAGAGGTTTACGCTTTTTATCCGCCTGCTTGTGATGAGATATGATCTTCAGCTGCCGTGAGCACATTGAGTTTGCAGGAAGCTCCGTGATGAGCACATATGGTGAGGGGAAGATAAATGAGTCATGCGAAACACAGCTGGCGACAGGTTCCTGCCTCCGGTTGTCACCTTCAGGTAGCGTGGGGTTAATAGGGTGACTGAGGGTAGAGCAACTCATGCCTCTCTGCCTTTTTTTTCCCCCCGTTTCTCGGAACTCAGTGTGTGGCCACTACTGCTGTAGGAGGACATGAATCAGAGTCCCTGTGCTTATATCAAAGCTCCGTCCTGCTCACAACATTTTGTTCAGGGAGGATTGAGCATTGCAGTCGAGTCGGGCGCATCGAAGGAGCCACAGCAGATGCTTTTGTCTGTTATGTTTCTTGAGAATTAAGGTTTTCTCTGTGGCTACAGAGAGGAAAAGAGGAAGAGAGAGTACACTTTCATGCTCCAAAGACAGTCATCTGGTGTGACTGACAGGTGGGAAGTGAGAAGAGAGGAAATTCACTTTCATGACTGGGGGAAAGTGAGTCAAAGAAGTGACAGATTCCTTCACTCTTGTGCATCCTTTCCTCAAAGCGTTGACCCACACAGCAGCAGAACTGATTGGACCTCTCTGCATGAATTTAATCGAACAAGTTGAGGAATGAATGAGAAAGGGCTGCCGAGGCATTGCTGCGCTGTCTTTTCACAAAGGGGAAATTGAAGCTCAGTTTGGTTCTTTTGTGGTGTGCGGTGGAAATCAGGACTTTCTAAAAAGAAATTGGGAGTATTCTGAAATCAGTCCTGCTTGTTTGAACAATGACGTTACTTGTCAGAGAGCCAAGGAGAACATTTTTGTTATAGCTTCAGCATTAACACGACTAAATTGAACGTGATGGCCCAACCTTCTTGAGATCATTTTTGTTCGTCTGTTTAAACAAGGTGTCAAACTTGAGTGAGAAAAAAAGCAAGACTTTCTCATTTTATAGCTTCTTCTTATGGACACCCACTGGATTTATTGTGTTATTGTAAAGGCAAATACATTTAGGTGTACCCAATCTCAAGTATCGATTGTTGTCTGGATTGACAATATGGACTGATGATTATGTTATGGTCACACTCACGCTGATAATGCAACATGAAGAGAGGACAAAGAAGTGTTTTACATAAGTGTAAAATCACAAACATATGTACATAGAGACACATAATAAAGCATCCTTAATGTGAGCTGGATCATGTAAGGTTTGATGCAATATAACCATCTTTCTTTAAACCTTTCTCTAAGCATTGTTTTGATATCGCAGAATTATTTTTCTATCACCACTCCCTGTTCCACTTGTAAAACGTGGCCATTTTAGGCAATTAAGCGTTTATATGGACATTTTTTAAACCTTTCTGCACCAAACAACAGACGAGAAAATTGCATGCTTATAACTGACCAAACAATTGCTATAAGAAAGTGTTTTTCTGCTCTGAAAATAAAATAAATGTAAATTTAATCTGACTAAATTTATGTTATTTTTATATAATGGGAGACCATTCATTGTTGCCGTGCCTTTGTTCCACTTAAAGGAGGGAGTTAAGCACAACTGTTAAGAGTGTGACGGTAAAAAAGAAAAGAGAGAAAATAAAGTTTTTCCCTAAAAGCATACTGGTACACAAATTAAACCTCCCTGATCAAATTGTCTTACAATTTCAATTTATGAGCAATCTAATTAGCAAGCTTTTTTCTATAGTGAGATGTTTTTTTGAACACATTTGAAATACTCAATTTCAATATTTGAAATTCAAGCTCATCTTGTGGCATTTAGTTCATCATGCAACTAACTTAACATAGTGAAACCAGTTGTGAGATAAAAAAAACACTCTTAGGGATGTTTTTGTAAGGAACATGCTTCAGAGACCTGGGGAATAAGACTATGTAAAGGCTTCCAAAGCTCTGAAAAGGAAGTGTACAGTATGCATAGCTCTGCCTTCATTCATACTGCAAACACATAGTTAAGAGCATTTGAATTTGGCCTCTTGGATATGGAGGCACAATGTAAAGAAGCATATCTGATAGTGCCTCAATTTTCAACATAATTATAGGCATCTCTTCTCTTCCTAATATTGTCATGTGCCTAGATACAGGTGGCAAATAATGTACGATTAAGTATTTTTAATAAACCAGAATGTATCAGCAGTGAATAGCAGCTGCTATGCAAAGCAGAAATTGAATGGTCTGCTCATCAGTCAGTGTTTGCCATATGGCATATCATATGGCATATCAAATAATTCCTTGTATGGGTTCAATATTTGTGTGGTTCAGAATCCTGCATTGTATCTCATTTCCTCATGCTCATATCAGTATTAACATCCTTCAGAGAGAAAGCAATGGCTTTATAGTCTGATGTAAATATTATAGTTGAAGGACTGAAATGAAATTATCGCTATTTTCCCCTTTCGATTAACAGAGGAAGCTTGCTGTTTCCGCTCATTGTTGGGATTAAGTATTTATCTGAATAACAAATGCAATTCAAATCTTTATTTGCAAAACATTTTTATCAAGTGTTTAACAAAGAGCAGGCAAAAAACAAAAACATGTCTGCATAACAATAAATGTAAATCAAAGTATTTTGCTTAAATTTAGGAAGTCTATCTGAAAAATGAATTGATTTTGAAAGGTATGTAAAAGAGGTCAGTGACTTTATTGGCTTGGCTTAATGGACACTCTTCAAATTGACATAAAAGGATTTATCATCTAATATCACGAGCTTAGCATAGACTCATATAGCACCGAAAGCTCATGCGGACGCAGGGATAAATGGCCAGAAAGGAACTTAAGATCATAGTAAGATACTCTGTGATGTGCTAATTTTTCTTGGTTTCTAATCAAAGAACATTGTGCTGAGTTTTGACTTCTTTGCAGTGCCAGTCTTATGAACTTTAGGGGCCTTCAGCCTTCTATGATGGTGTTACTGATTGACTGACCCTCATTGTCTTGGCTCATTCATCGATCACTTTACTCCAACTGGCCTCTGACAAGCCTGACCAGAACAAATCGGCAAATGTAACGTGTTGTCGCCTCACCACAAAGAGAGAAAAATTAGATCTGCTTAGGGTCTCCTCTCTCTGTCACAGTAAGAAAAAAGACAGTGTTGAAATAAGATCTCTGGTTGTAAATTAAGTGAAAACGAGGGGTTTGTTTTAGCTTTCATGTGGACAATGTCAATTGAAATGTCCTCAATCAGTTGCTTGGGAAAAAAAACATTGAACATTTTAGCATAAAATCAGTACTACAAAGCACTCTCTGGAACTGAAGGGAATTCAAATGAATTTCCCTTAAATTTAAATCAATTTGACAAAACTATTACAATTAGTTCTCTAGAAACTACATTATTAAAAGAGAACAGAATAAGCCATTTAAGTCAAGTCAGTCAAGCCACTGTATCTTTTGAATATTCTTTTTTTTTATGGTAAATTATTCACAAGAATCAAAGGCTGTACAGTATATAATGTATAAATAAACTTTTTATTTGCTGTAACTCAGGTGACAGAAACCCGAACAGGTCCTCTTGGGTGTAGTAACTATGACAACCTGGACTCTGTAAGCTCTGTGCTGGTACAAAGCCCTGAAAATAAAGTCCAGCTGCAAGGTTTGTATGATCTTTACCAGCTTCTTTTTAATTTTCATTATATATTTTTAAAGTTCTAACATACTTTTGTAAAGTTAGAGTGCCCGGTGTAAACAGCAGTATCTGTTTGGGATCTATATTTTTTATTAGGACATTGCCTCTACTTTTTCATTGTCCCCAAGTTCATATTTGATGACAGTACTAAACCCAGTTTGATTTCACAGGCTTGCAAGTGATCCTCCCAGACTACTTGAGAGAAAGTTTCGTGCAGGCTGCTCTTAGCTACATAGCCTGCAATGGAGAGGGTGAGTTTGTTTGTAAGGACAACGACTGCTGGTGCAACTGTGATCCTAAGTTCCCTGAGTGCAACTGCCCCTATATGGACATTCAAGCAATGGAAGACAGCCTGGAGAGAATCACAGAGACATGGGGGATACTCCATAAAGAATTTGAAGAATCAGGTGAGGACGCTCTCATAAAAAATAATGAATTCATGCTTTCACTCATACCGTATGCCTCATCCTAAATGCAGAGAAATCTGACTTTTGAGTATAAATCATTTATATGAGAGGAAGTAGGGATGAATTCAAGTCTTTTATCTGCGCCATTAAACCTGAGTGAGAATCCTATATGTATATCTCATCCCGCTCTATGATTTATAGGTCAACTATAATAGCTGAGTGAGATTCCTGGATGCTGGCACACTTTCTGCATATAGCAAATTAACAATGTGACAAGACTAGATTAAAAAAGATCAACAGCTTTCAACTCAGGTAGTTTACAATATGTCTTCTGCAGATTAATCAGCTATAAAACCAATTTATTGCCAGTCCAGCGTTTCATATAACTGAGGAAACATAAATGGAATGGAAGCTCTTAGCACAATGTTTAGTTATTATTGCTGTGCTTGGTCACCCTGCCTTGGTGATTATTACTCAGGTGAAATCAAAATGGATGTCTTTTTTTTCTTCTGCTGTGTAGATTTGGCTGAAATATTGCTAAGTGCAATTACCTTCAAAGTTTATGTTTTAATAGCTGGCTGTGAAGCAAGGCCAGGAACGTGCCCAGACTACAGACAACATCATGTGTCATAAAAGTGTCCTTCACCAAGAGATTTCCCACATCCCTGCCTTATCAGCTAAAGGAGATGCAAAGATGTCCTACTGCTAACCGACACTGGGGTCAGCAGTTGTGGGTCTCTGAATTGAAGCATTAGTACAGTATGTTTGAAACCATTATACAGGATGAAACCAGTAATTTCCATGTGAAGGATCACCAGTGGGATTATGTTCTTACGAGTGGCTGCTCCCTCTGTGTGACAGTCAGTTTGTCTCTTCATGCTTGTTTTGCACATTTTATACCCTGTTCCCAACGGCAGTTTTGTTGATGTCATGAACCAGTTTTTTGTTCATTTTATTTTTTGTTTTCCTTCTTTTTCACAAGGCAGTATGATCTTTGAACCGTTTGAAGGCTTCCACATCAGGTTTTGCTTTTAAATCTGGCTCTGTTCCTTTGCAAAATTCATTGGTTTTCTTATGCTTTATTTCAAACGGTTAACCTTGAACTAAAGAGGCACAAAGGAAGAAATCCCAAATGCATTTCTATAGAAAGTGAAGTTCTGTGTGCAGCGGTTTTGCCTGGACTCTTTTGATGTGCATGTTAGAATTTCTCTTAAAATGTCTGTTTATGCGTGTTGTTGCATATACCCTTTATACCCTTTGTTCAACAGTCGGGTTTTTCTCGATTTCATAAATTAGGTTATTTGGTCTCTTTTCTTATTTTTGAATTCATTTTCTCCCCACAAGTCGAAATGATTGGTTAAGATGTTGAAATATATTCCTTTTATTTTGGGATTATGTACAAGATTCAATGGGTTTCCAATGTTTTATAGTTAGCCTTAAACCAAAGAGACACAAAAGATGTAAAAAAGTGCATGTCTTTTTAAGATGCTGGCCCCTGTGCAGCTATTAGGAGAATTTCTCTTGAAATTGAAATTCATTGTTTTTAGTAGGGCAGTAGTTCAAGCACTGTTGGCAAGATCACATAATATAGAAAAACACAAAATTCTGCATTCATCCTTCAATGGTAGGATTTGTGTTATTGCCAAAGTGCAAACAGGAATAAGCATAACATTAGAAATGGGTCAACTATTAAACAGTCAAGAAAATCTACAAGAAATACAACCTCAGAAATAATCCCCAATTATCAAAGTATTCCTTAAATTATCAAAGTATTCCTTAAATACTTAGTGAAAAATGGAAATTGACGTCAAGACAGGAATGGTGAATCGTCTGTTTTATTTCTTTCAGCATCTTAATGATCAGTTGGTGGAGAGGCAATCTATGTCATTCACCACTGAATATGCCAAATGAGGAAGACCTAAGATTAAAAATCTGAAGGATCTGAATAATAACCCTGACTGATTACAGTTTCTGTTGTGATCTTCAATTGTCGTCAGTGCTCTGATATTACATATTTTGTGTATTATTCCCTTGTTTGGAGCACAAAATTTGTTGAAATCTCAGGGCAAATCACCCAAACACCTCAGGTCACTGCAGTGTGTCCAACAAAATGCTCCTACTGAATGGAACATTCTCCATACAAAATCGATCTTACCAATCATTTGTGTCAATCTGAAAACTATGTATGAGATTTTCATTTAACTTTGCTCAGCGTGTTATCAATGTGGTGGTGACTGTCTTTAAACCGTCTTATTTAATTACATAGCAGCATTTATCTTGAAGAAACAGGCAAATCTGTTCACTATTTTGTTTACTGAGGACAAATCCTCCGTATAAACTCCACTTTCTACAAATTCAGACTCTTTATTGCTGAGCATGTCTCTTGTAGTCTGACTAAGGTGGAGTAAATGATCATCATTGGCACATACACTATAAGGATGCTAATACTGAGAACTCCCCCTTCTTTGTTTTGACAGATGAATTTAAGGCCTTCTATGCAAGGCTTCCCCAGAACTACTTCCTGAACGTGTCGGCCATACAGCACTTGTGGTCCTTGGACAGCCTGTTTCAGTGGCGATATGAGCAGCTGGAGAACAGCATGCGGCTCCTCTCCAGACGAGCCCAGAGAGTCATCTTCAAGCTGTTCAGCCTCAGTAAAAGATGTCACCGGCAGCCTCAAGTCCGTATACCAAGAGAACGGTAAGAGAGCGTTGATTTTATTATCTATGTTTCTGTGTGTTTACCTTATGAAACTGCATCGATACTTTCTGAAATCTATGAATGAACACAGGCTTTATTTTTTAGCCATTTTTTACCCATTGATTTTATATAACTTAAAGGTATTGTCATTGACAAATTAATTTGTCATTACACATGAACCTTTAATGTTGCAGTACTTATCTAATATGTTTAACATTAACCCTCATGTGGGTCACACTTAAAAGTCATATCGATAGAATAGTCTATTTAAATGGAAATTAAATAGTCACGAGTCATAAAAATGTCACTTGAATATGTGCAAAGTTTGCTTATTTAATTTTTCATATTGATTCACATTAGTCTAGTTGTTTTTTAACATATTTACTGGGATTGTTCAGTCCATCCTGCATGCATTTATTTATTCACTTATGTTTTTGTTTACAGTGCTGCTTAAACAGTGTGTTGTCATAGTTTAGCTCTCTGTATTTGTAAGTTATGGTGATATATGATATATATTAGCAGGCAGCCCTCGTTAGATCACAGTTTCAGAAGTGAGAACATTTGCTGTCAAAATTGTATGTCATATATGCATCCTGTTGAATGGTTGTACGATTTTCACGTTGGGGAGCTTGAGATTAATCCACCTAAAATACCTAAAGTAATTTAAGTGAATAAATATTGTATTTTGTATGTATATAAATTCAGATTGTTTTATGGGAGCTTTACTATGATTATGAATATATTGTTTTTTTTATCAGCATGACTTATAAATTACAAATAACACATTTACATAATGATTTGTTAACCCGGCCTCTAGAAAACAGTTATTTCATACATTCAAAGTCAATCCTTGCTATGCTAATTCAGTATACTTTACTTCAATAGTTTAAAGAATCATTATTCTTTGGAAATTCCTAAATGGATTTCCATACTCTCAAAGTTAGATCCTTTGAATGACTCCCTTTCGGTGACCTTCTCCAGAGCAATTTGTTGTGTTATAACAACGTAATGCACCGTCAGTCATTGTTACAGGGTGAAAGTCAGTCATTATTCCCATTCCAGTAAACAGTCACTTGTCAGTAAAACTCCAGGTATGCCACTGTAAGTGCGCTGAAGTGCTGTTTGCAGAGGCTGATTCACTCAGCTTCTACTGTCAGTCACACTGCGCTCAGTTTGACTGCCTCAACAGTAACGGCAGCGCCAGTGGAAACAACAGCACATAGATCAAATTAATCTATACAGTGCTTTTAATGTCCTTTCCATTTTCTTTTTCTAGGTCTCCTTGTCTAAATGTGTTCTTGTACTCCACACCCAATTGCCAAAATACACATTAATCACTGATGTTTGTGGCTGAAATTCCCACTTGCTTGCCAAGAAGTTTCATCGCCCTCTTCCAAACAGTATTTATCAGTGTTCCTAGAAGCAAATAAACCCCTTTTCATCCCCTTTCTTTTTTCACTGTAAACTCTCCTGACTGAGTTGACACAAATTTGGAGTAGGGGGGTTGTCAGCTTTTCTGAAATGGAAGCTCTCCCTTTAACGTCCTGATCTGAGCACTTAAGGTGGACGAGAGATACGGGATTGATTTTGCTTCCTGGTGTTTGCTCTGCCACTGTTCTGACAATTATGAGAGGATAGGGCAGTTGTAGCTTCAGATAGTTTGGCTTTTCTTGAGCAGTTAATAATAGTGAAGGATGGTTGACTTTGTGTTCAAAGTTTGCCCATTACCCTTAACTATGGTCTTTGAAATGTTGATTTTAGTACTTTATTATGTCAGCTATTTCCTTAAGATAGGAAAAAGGTGCATGCATGTTTCACTGGAGGGGTTTAGTAATCTTTTATTGACTACTTGTTAAGTGCAGGCAGATTCGAGTCTTAAAGTGTTGAATAGCCTTTTAATAATAATGAGTTACCTTGATTAGTTTTTTTTATGCAACTACTTTCTTTCAAGCATGTTTAAAAAAAGGCTAATGGGAAGGCAAAAATTAATTATTTTAGTGATGGATGCTTGTTTTAATTTTTCATTGACTGGTTTTTCCTGGTGTCTTTCATATTGATTCGCTGACAGCTGTTGTATAATAGCATGCATACAGTACCTGTGAGAGGAAACACAATTTCAGGATGCAGGATGTGGATGTTGTAAGGGAGTCTCAAATACAGGTATAGAATTGAAGACATTAGTAGCCATTAGGGGAGAAGTCTTTTCTTAAAGGCAACATTATCCTTTAAACTTTCTAGTGTAATTGTAGAGTGAATTTCCTGTCTTTCTCTTTACTTTTATCACCTAATTTATATTCACTTGCATCAAATTTGTGGTAACATAGTCTTTGTTTTTCTCACAAATGTTTCTGACAAAGTAAAATACTTCACATGCTAATATAATACAATTTCAGAAACATTTGCTTGAGTAGGGTTAAATTTAACTATCCAAAATGTAACCCCATTATCCCAGAAGCAAGCTTTGCTGTAGTTACCAAGCTTGTTAATATATTTAGTATTTTTGTCAGCTTGTCCATGATTCTGCACTCTTCATGAAAACTATGACAAATGAAGGAGCTATGTAATAAGCACTTCATGAGATCCATCTTGGGAACTTTAAAACAAAACCCAACAGTAATAGATCCATTGTAGCATTTTTTAGTGTAGAATCACATTATCCCTAAGTGTTCATTTTCAGTTTAACATTTCAAAATTAAATCAGTAAGAAAATCCCAATGAAGTTGTGGGTCTCTTTTGGCATTTCCTCTTATTTTGTCTAATTTCATATTACCATCCACAGATTTCCTTCACCTGATAATGTTTTCTATCAAGGTCAAGAGAAACATCAGCATTTAACTACTGCCAAGTTCCCAGTAGTTCTACTGAGCTCACATCCCTAATCCCCAATAATTTATTGCGATATTACCTAGAATACATACTACCCGACACTCCTTTATAATTTATTACTCTTTCAAATGCTCTTGTAACTGTTAGACAGCACATCTTTTCAGAAATGTTTCCAAATCATTCTGCATTATCTCCCGGAAGATTGCAGTAGGCTAAGGCTGCATGGATGAAAAATGACTAATTCAGCTGTCACTTTTAAGGGGTCTTGGTCATATCAAAGAGTTGGAACACAAAGACTGCAATTGAAAAAGAGAAATCCACTTCAATGATAGCCTAAAAATATGAAGTCATGGTAACAAATAGCTCAAAGGCTTAGATTGAATCCAATAGTGGAAAAATATTCATAATCTAACAAAGCAAGGGGTTGGAACAACTGAGATTTGAAGAAAAGATACAAAAAGCATCGGTACACACATCACTAAGAAAACAGCAAAAGATCAAACACAAACTGATAAAGGGGAAAGATATACTAGAAATACAAGACCAAACTGGAAAACAACATGCAGGTGAGACCAATGAGAAGTGAGCGGACAAAAAATGGGATAGAAGAATAAAAAAGTCAAGGTCTGAACTAAAGAGACACAATGACATTTTTACCAAAATGAAAACAGGAAGATACCAAAACTAGCTATATGAAGAAAAAGACAAAGAAGCAATAAAAGAACAGATTATAGAGAGTTCACACTTTTTGGAGATTAAATACACCTCAACTGGAAAGTGTAAGACAGTTGGCTGAATTAACCAAACCTGGAAAGTTTCCAACAGCCTGCAGTCTGTACTTAAAATGAACAAAATTGTTTAAGCCTGTCAGATCTGATTTGATTTGTCAATGTATTCACAAAACCATACATTTATTTCCAAACTGTTATGGTTTAATAGCTTTAGAGCAGCTTAGTATCAATTAGAAAAAAAAGAGCTTGGATTGTCATTGTCTATCATTATGTGTCTAATGCACTACAACCCCAATGCTAGCACAGTGGAGCAGGGAAATAATTGTATGAATGATTGAACATTTACAATTAAAAATGTGCAATATGAAAATCGTTAAAATTTTGGGGTTGGTTTTACATAGAAGTGTAAGGTCAGTGCACAACCTTCATATACAGTATCTTACATGTAAGCGTTTTATTTATGCATACTTTTCAACTTCTTTTTATTTGTTACCTGCGCCTTAAAATTCAGCGCTGAAGTCAGAGGACACTGATTTACAGCAGTGGCTCGTAAGGAGAGCTGTGGGGGTGCATGAGGGCTGTACATAATCACACCGGGGAACAAACGGAACAACTGCAGTCCTGTCTTGGCAACAGATTTGCTTTGCTGAAGCTGTCGGAGGTGAAATGCCTTACCCACAGGTAGTGGATGATGGACAAGAAGTCCTTTCTGTTCATTTCCCCTGACCTCTTTTTTCCATCACAGAGGTTTTATATTCAAATCCGTGATTTTCTAAACTCTGACTTGCACCCCCCTGCCAACTATACAATAAAGTGGGATACAAAGGAAAGATACCGCAAATGTAATCTGACAAACATTTCCTGATTAGCATAAAGGTTACCTCAATTCATCCTTATCGAAGCAGCGCCTTTTTGCATGAGAAGGCGTTAAAATGCCAGAAGTATGTATAGAACATGCTTTCCTTCAGTTTGCAAAGAGGATTAAATGATCAGCGTAGATAAATTAAAACAGTGGGGGAATCAAATTCCCCCATACATGAGGGAATTATGTTCATGTCTCAGATTTAGTTAACATACAGATGCAATACATGTCTAATATTTCACAAATTGGTAAAAGTCAACTCACTTTGTCTCTCATGTATCTAAGTTTCTTCTTTTACAGTGCTCATATTTTTGGGATGTTTAAATTGCACCAATCAAGTAACGTCGGGTAACAAATTCATGAAATCTTCTAAAATTCCGTGTGAATTTATTGATCAGGCTGTCAGTCCCAACAAATGCATATGAGAGTGAATATCAATTCAATTTTATATTTGAACGATTCATAAAAAGTCAACTTTAACTTTGAACAGCAAAAACCCTAAATGATCTCAAGTATTTCTTTTAATTTTTAACAAGTCAGCAGTCTGCAGGTCCCAAAAGGTGCTATTATGAAAATGACTTCCTGTTAAACAGGCTCACACTCAACTTCTGTTCAATAACTTCCTCTAATCCTTTTTCTTCCTCCCTGTCTCCCTCTGTCTCCCCTCATTCCCTGGCGCAGACCTCAGTCCTACTGGCTGAACCATTTCCAGTCTCTGCTGTACTGCTCAGAGAACAACCAACTTGGTGAATTCTCAGAGGAGCTCCACAGCTGCAGCTGCCGGTACGAACACAGCCCTTGTCAGCTGCCCACGCCCTGCTCTGTTGGGGAGGGCTCCGCCTGTGCTGCGTGCGCACCTGACAACCACACCCGCTGTGGGAGCTGCAACCCAGGCTTTGCCCTGACGCAGGGTACTTGCAGGCCCATGGTGGCTGACTCTACAGAGAACTATCTTGGGTTTGAGACAGACCTCCAGGATTTGGAGCTGGGCTACCTACTGCAGAGAGCAGACCGCAGGCTGGAGGTATTTGACTGCTAGTCTTTGTTTAATGATGTCAGACTCACTCTGAGTAGCTACAACAGCAGTACGGGAAAGAAATGTGTTCTCGTGGGAGCTATTCAGCTCTGCAAAGTGCTGCTCTTTTGGCAAATGTGGTTTCCATGGTAATTTTTTGTTTCACAATAGACGTTGCAACTTTTGCTACAGCAAAATGTTGTGATATTTACTCTATAAGTAATCACAGCAGTCCTTAATAGCAGATTGTCGTCTAAAAGTGCAGAGAGTAGAAGTAATTCATAATTCATAAGATAAAACATCTTTTTTTTATCACAAAAGTATTGCTTCAACACCTCTAACAGTCTATCTATCCTGACGATGGCTGTTACAGTTTTTCCTCATCTTTAGTTCCTTTCTTTTCTCAGTGATTTTCTGATTTAGGCAAATGTATGTAGAAATCCAAAAAAGGCAATGATTTTTTCATTCTCTTTCTGGCTCTGCGTAATGAAAGTTTTATCGTTTCAAGATTTTATTATTGACCATTCCAGCAACATTAAATTATCTGTGCCCATGTTTAACATTTTTCGGCTACCAAGTAAATTGAAGTTCTTTTCTTACTTGCTCTAACTTTTAACTTTTATTTGAACTTCATCTTTTTCACTGTTTATTCATCAAATAGGTCCATGCAATTTTCATCAGCAATGACATGCGGCTTAACAGCTGGTTCGACCCATCATGGAGAAAGAGGATGCTGCTGACACTGAAGAGTAACAAGTACAAGTCCAACATGGTCCATATGCTGTTGGGAATATCCCTTCAGATCTGCCTTACAAAAAACAGCACCCTGGAGCCTGCTCTCACACTCTACATCAACCCGTTTGGAGGAAGCCACTCTGAGAGCTGGTACATCCCCGTCAATGAGAACGGTTTTCCAGATTGGCAGGCCACCAAGCTAGACCTGCCCTTTGAGTGCTATAACTGGACTCTGACACTGGGCAACAAGTGGAAGACATTCTTCGAAACCATCCACATCTACCTTCGCAGCAGGATAAAGGCTCAAGAGGGGGTGAATGACAGTGTTTACTATGAACCTATTGAAATGACGGACCCGGCTCAAAGCCTGGGCTACATGAAGATCAACAGCATTCAGGTCTTTGGTTACAGCATGCACTTTGACCCGGAGGCAATCCGTGACTTGATCCTGCAATTGGACTACCCATATACCCAGGGTTCCCAGGACACGGCCATGCTTCAGCTCTTGGAAATACGTGACCGTGTGAACCGTCTTTCGCCTCCAGGTCAACAGAAGCTGGACCTCTTTGCCTGTCTCCTGCGGCACAGACTTAAACTGACAGCGAGCGAGGTGGTTCGAATCCATGCCTCCATACAGGCCTTCAGCGCCCGTCTGCCCAATTCACTGGATTATGACACCACCAAATTGTGCAGTTAACAGCTGCTCAAATGGAGAACTGGACTGTAAATTACACAGCGAACCCCTGAACATAAGGGGTTGTGCCCTTTATGGTGCAGATGCTTACAAATGCCCGGTCTTTTTAGGTTACCAAACATTGGTTGTCGCAAGGACCAGCTGCATACGGCTGAAGAATGTACTCATTGAGTTACTTTGGTTTTCATTATGTGGAAACTATTTTCAGTGCTATAAATAAAGAATGAGCTGGAACACTGAGGGAATGCACAACTGTTCCCCAAACAAACTCAAAAGAATTATACAGCTGAAGTTCAGAAACCATCGCATCAAGTTGAACCATCCTGTTTCACTATGACTCTGCTCATTTATACTGTAAGTACCAATGCCAAATGAATGAACGCATTATGGTAAAACTGGTACCGTCTGTTTGTTTGTAATTTTTGATACGTTTATTTGCTTTAGTGACAGTGCACTTTCCATGAAGTGCAGATTACAGTGGTGTCAGTCAAGATTTTGTAGATAAATTGATATTAAAACATCATGTTATAACAGATTTGAGTTGTCGAAACAATTTCTTATGGGCCTTTATCGGCTAAGGAATAGGATCTAAGGGGATCTAACACCACAAAGGTATAATATGTTTTTATGGTGTACTGCAATTAATTCAACATGTCTCAAGAGGCTCACTTCATTTAACAGAAACTCACCCATGAAATTGCATTCCAAGCAAAAAGAAAAAAGTCAAATAACTGAGAATTGCACAGCTGCTGTAACTACACAGGATCAAGTCAAACAAACAGGTTCAAATTTCCTATGAGTTGTAAGAAGTCACCTACTCTTTTTGTTTTGTTTTTTTTTAGATTGCAATGGATGCAATCAATAGTTTCTACTTCCTCTAGTGGGGATCAACGATGCATTTTATATTTGAAGAATATTTTCATTGGTTTCAAAGGAAGCCCTTTTGTTCTCCCTCTCTTAAAGGGCAAACAATACAATGGCAAAGGTAAGACAGGGTTGAAATAAATAAATAAATAAATAAATAAATAAATAAATAAATAAATAAATAAATAAATAAATAAATAAATAAATAAATAAATAAAGAATAAACTCATAATAAAGAAATAAATAAAGTTTAAATCAATAAGATATTTTTACTGATTGCTTGCTGATAACTTTTCCCATGTAGAGCAATGTAGGTAATTGTTTTGACAGAGAGAAATGGTCTCCATACAGAAGATACCTGCACAGTGCAGCACGTGAGTGAGCAAAGAGCTAAATGTAGGTGACAGTGTTTAACCTGTATTCTGGGTAAAGGACAGCTAAGACCAGGTGTCAGACTTAATTAAACCTTCAGGGCCAGGTTATGGAAATTAGCATTTGTTTAAAAAGAGATACTCACTTTGTCTGTGATATCTTATCACATCCAAATTACGCTGAGTATCTCTCATGGTCCCTGCTCTGAGTATTTCTGTAAGAAGGCTGCATGACTGCATCCAATGTAGCTCCCTCCAGCATTACACATATGACAGCATCCTGAAGTCTGTGTCAACACTTCGGCTGCCTTATCCAAAGTGCAGTACAGTGCAAAAGTTTTGAGCCACCTGCAATTCTTCATATTTTCATTTTTATGTACTAAGGCTAGAGATTATTTTTGCACTCCTTTAAGGTGATCCTCATATTATTGTTCTTTAGTATTTTCAAATTAAAGGTCAGCAAATAATATTTTGAATGAATAAGGTGAAAAAGCTGCTAATAGCTGATGATAAATGAGAAGCACGGGTACAGCTCTTCAAATGATCAAGTGCTTTGTATGAAAATGACGCTTTCCTGGCAGTTCTCTGGAAGGGTTGTGTCTGGGGTTAGTGAAACTGTTTTTTTCTCTGATTTGGAGATGTAATTCTTAGCGGGTGTATCAGTGTCTTACAGTGATGTCCTCAAGACAAAGGAAAATAAAACATTAAATACCTGAAAAAGGACATGTACAGACATCTATCTGAACCATTAGTGGAAACATCTGCTTTTCACTGAAGTAGAAACGGAATCCTTAGAAATGAAATCTAAGGAAGGAAAACAGGAAACAATGCCAAGGTATACCAAATGAAACTGTTTAAGCCTTAGATACTTTGCCTCTAATTTTACTTTTGCATTGCTCAATAAATTGATGTTTCTGTTTATATTTTTCATGGAGATCCACCGAGAAAAAAAAGGGGTGGCTCCCAACTTTTGAACGATATTGTGCTGTATGTGGTTGTGTTTTCACTTGCAGGCCTTGTCAAACAAGTTGTGAGTGTGCTGCAGTGATTTGTGTTTCAACAGATCCCGTATAGACACTGACAGAGGACAGGAGCTTCTGCTATTGTGCTGCTGACAAGCTGCTTCCGCTGCATGGACACTTTTAGACCAAATACAAATTAGCTTGGGCAGCATACACCGTTTTCTGTTCACTCAAATGCATAGGAAACCATTAGTAAACGGTGCCTGCAAGAAATGGCTGTGTGCAGCTGAGTCAGCATGTAAAAGCACTTGGAAAAGAGGGAGCAAACAAGAACTTCGCTTTTAATCAGTGGCCTTCTTCTACACTCTTTTTTTTTACGTATTGCAACAATCTTTCACTTTCCACTAAAGCAATTAGATGTTTTTGCAATTTAATCTCACAGAAACATGTGAAATGAGCATAATGTCTTTAACAATCTAATTCGGTCGTAGAAGAACATAATCCATCTTCTGACTCTGGCAGGCTTTACAAGATCACCATCACAGCCATCCTGTGTCCAAGAATCCAAGTGCAAATCAATGAACTCTGGAAAGCTAATAGTTATTGGAATTAAGAGGCAGTGTTGCAAAGGATATGGTAACATATCACACCTTTCCCAGTTAAACACTGCATTAATGTTTGATAGCAAGTAGGTTTATGAGCTACCAGACATATTCTATTTACTCAATGAAAGACGCTCTCACAAAACCAAAGAAACAAAATGTGGGAGATCAAGGCCAGTTTTAGAATATTGCGTTTCTTTGGTGGTAACTGCTACCACAGTTTTTTTTATCAGAAAATACATTTGGTGCTTTCCTAACTGAGCTGTACTAATCTAGCTTCTATGGGCCTGAGTGACACAGCAGACCAAAGAGAACGCAAGCACATGTGACAGTTAATAGCCGCCACCTCAATTTGTCTGCTCCTCCCATCAACTCCAACTGTTGTCAAAAGCTACGTTGGAGAAGGCCTGCACATGGATGAGCAGTGTTTGATGAGATGTGGCAATGGAATGTATTACTAAAGGTCAGCATGTCTTTTCCTGAATACTGCCCTGTCAATTATGCAGAGGAAATAAGTTCCACTGGGGAGTGAAAAGAGCAGCAAAGAAGAATCAAAGACAGTGCGACTCATTTTGTTTTCTGGTCGTTGGTGGCATTGTGTCAACACTGAGGTCACTAAATGTTCAAAGAAGGCACAAGCTAGTCATTAAAGTGGATTTTGGTTAACTTGTGTTGGCCACAGGACTTTCCATAACTTCACAAATTAGGCGAGAAGATACTCATATCCACATTAAGAATATTGATGGTGCTTTTCAAAGAAAAATGATAATGCGTCACTGCAAAAATAAGTAAAACCTCCATGTGCCTCCTCCATCAGTCTAAAAGATCAGAAAGTAGTTTATCCATAATAATGATGTTTAACAGCATTCTGTTCGTTGTGCAATTACCAAACTGGTCCCTGAAAACCCTCCTTCAGAGGCAGAAAGGCATCATTTATAACTGCCAGCTTGCAAGTAGCCCTTTTTTTTTAGATAACCCAGCTGTTATATCAGCTTCTCTTGTGGCAGAGGCAATAGGAAAAGTTTTATAAAAATATGTTGACCTTTTCAAAAATCATGCAGATAGAAACGATGGACTAATAGGTTAAATGGTAACAAACAAAAAAAGATATTTGAAAGAAATATCCATATGCAGTACAATGTATACAACCTGTTAGAGCCAGAGACGCATTACATCATGCCTATCTAAAACATTCCCTCACAGTTTTGGGACTCAATAAGGTGTTGAAGAATCCATGGCAACACAAATCTGAATTCTCAAACACAATGCACACTGATGTGTACAGCAAATGGATAGAATTAAAGTCTAAAATATATAAAATTTCTTGAATACAAAGAGCAACAAATCTTCAAATCTAGAGGCAAATTCATTAGACCAGAACAGTTAAATGCAACCAGTCCAATACAATTCAAAGACAGACAAACACTTCTTTATGCAAATTTCTGGATTTTCTTCACGAAGACTTTAAGAAAAAAAAAAAGGAAATTAAATTGGTTTAATCTTTATTGTTAGAAGAGACATGGTTTCCTGGTATGTTTAGATATGTAACATTGATGACTTGTCCGTGGTTGATCCGTTCAACTTCGGGTAGAAAAGAAAAAATAAGATTGAACTGATCAAAGTAAAGGCATGCAATAAAATCAATCTAAAAAAAGAAAAGAATTGTTTTGTAATGATACAGTATGTTCTGAGACTTAACCTTTCCAACTCTGATAAAAAAAAGACTAAAAGGCATGAGTGATCCTTTTTCTTCTTCTTTCACACCTGCCACATTTATTTCTTGCATTAATTCCTTCTCACGTTCTCACAATCCTTCATTAATCAAAACTCTAGAAGATCATTTACCCCTGAGAGCAGATTAGCATGAGGCTCGTATTATCATTTCATAGATTCAAAATATAAACCAAGGCAGTTTTATGCAAACACAAAACCCCCTTTTCTGATCAACTCATATTTCAGAAATATGTACTTGTACAGATCGATACCCCTTACATGGTATTTTTTGCAGGCAGCTTAAATCTAAGTGTCAAAACGGATGTGCTTTCAGTTCTGTATGGTGTAAGCTTCAGCCTTTGTACAGACCAAACTTTTCCTCCCCGGAGACCTCAACGAGGGAATGAAAGAGAGGACAGGAGGAGAAGGTAAAAGGTAACTGTCACACGCCAATAAATCAATATTCTGCTTTATTACTTCAGAGAACAAAAGGCTCTACACAGAGATCGATTGCTCTTCTGAGGAGCCTCGAATGAGAAAAAAAATAAAATATATATATATATATATAAATAAATAAATCTCTTGGCATTTGGCTTCTCTGTCCCCATGACCAGATCAGCATCAATTTATTACTGATGTGATGGTTTCCGCCTGATGTGTTTTTGTGTAAGCACAAATCAATCTTGAGTTTATTAGCTGCTATGATGCATTGTAAAATGACATTACTCATGTTGTAGATGAATGATATTCATTTGGAGGGAGGACTGCATCGACTGTGGATGTGCTGAGAATAAGTGACGAGAGTGAAAGATGTATCCAACGGCCAGGGTTTGTGTATTTGTGTATATTCCTCACCCAATAACTTGAATAGTTTTCCCCTGTGTAGTAGTCATGCCTTAAAAAGAAAAGCCATTGTTTGACATTCAAAGAAAGAAAGAAAATAACCCCACAAAATTATGTTATGTTGCAAGATTCATTATCTTAACACATTTAACTGAAAAGTTTGTGGACCAAAACCACAGCAAGACACCAATATTGTAGGATGTTCAAGTAAAATCCATTTAACTGCTGTGAAGAAGATCTGTAGTTTAATCCCTTGCTCCACATGCATGTGTTGAGATTCCTTGGCGGCATGTAATTGTGGAAATAAAAAGCATTGTAAAGAGTAGAAATACTGAACGATAAACACAGCAGAAGTGTCCATTTGAATGATTAAAATGTGTACGTTTAGGCAATTATAAGTAGAGGTTCCACTGTAATAA